TGTGGTGGTGGGTGTGGTGGTGGTTGTGGTGGTGGGTGTGGTGGTGGGTGTGGTGGTGGTTGTGGTGGTGGGTGTGGTGGTGATTGTGGTGGTGGTTGTGGTGGTGGGTGTGGTGATGGGTGTGGTGGTGGTTGTGGTGGTGGTGGGTGTGGTGGTGGGTGTGGTGGTGGTGGGTGTGGTGGTGGGTGTGGTGGTGGGTGTGGTGGTGGGTGTGGTGGTGATTGTGGTGGTGGGTGTGAGTGTGGTAATGATAGTAGTGACAATTAAGAGGTAAGGATGATACTCACATAGTTGAACTTGCGGAAGATGAGCTACAGCTCTTCGGTCCCCGCCTCTGAATTGTCAGTCAACTGGTATACAGGTTACCAAGCCTATTGGACTCTTATCATAGCTGAATATGAAATTGTGTATGGAGTCACTTCCTGCTGCGTTCCATCTGTTCATTAGTCTAACATCTAACAATCTTTCTAGAGTATGTGTGGCTCTTTTGGGTACTCAGTTTCCACCTGTGTCCCCTTGAGGGAGCTCCACCCATGCTAAGTAGTCTGTCCTTATCTACACTAGCCATTCCAATGAGAATTTTGCATGTGGTAATCATGTCTCTCCCTAACTCCACTGTTTAGTTCATGTAAATCGCTGTCAGCTACTCTTAGTAGTCCTCTACCTCGTTGTCTGCACTTTTGAGTGCTCTATACTCTATACAACCAGTTGTATAGCACCCCCACATATGTACACCTGCACATATGTGCAAAACCATAGATACCGAGCACCATAGGATAAATAAATGACAGGTGTATAGTACTCCAAGTGTGCAGAACTCCAGGTGTACAGAACCACAGGTGTACAACACTCCAGGTGTACAACACTCCAGGTGTACAACACTCCAGGTGTACAACACTCCAGGTGTACAACACTCCAGGTGTACAACACTCCAGGTGTACAACACTCCAGGCGCACAACACTCCAGGTGTACAGAACCACAGGTGTACAACACTCCAGGTGTACAACACTCCAGGTGCACAACACTCCAGGTGTACAGAACCACAGGTGTACAACACTCCAGGTGTACAACACTCCAGGTGTACAACACTCCAGGTGCACAACACTCCAGGTGTACAGAACCACAGGTGTACAACACTCCAGGTGTACAACACTCCAGGAGCACAACACTCCAGGTGTACAGAACCACAGGTGTACAACACTCCAGGTGTACAACACTCCAGGTGCACAACACTCCAGGTGTACAGAACCACAGGTGTACAACACTCCAGGTGTACAACACTCCAGGTGTGCAACACTCCAGGTGTGCAACACTCCAGGTGTGCAACACTCCAGGTGTACCTAAAACACTCGGCCACAAGTGACACGGCAAGAACGGATGTTTACACTTTGGGACTATAATTAATAGCAATATATCAGACCCCACCACCATATTACCCTCCCTCCCCGCCCCCCCCCCCCCCCGCCACCACAACCACACACACACCACCACAACCACACACACACCACCACAACCACACACACACCACCACAACCACACACACACCACCACAACCACACACACACCACCACAACCACACACACACCACCACAACCACACACACACACACTACAACCACACACACACCACCACAACCACACACACACCACCACAACCACACACACACCACCACAACCACACACACACCACCACAACCACACACACACCACCACAACCACACACACACCACCACAACCACACACACACCACCACAACCACACACACACCACCACAACCACACACACACCACCACAACCACACACACACCACTACAACCACACACACACCACCACAACCACACACACACCACTACAACCACACACACACCACCACAACCACACACACACCACCACAACCACACACACACCACTACAACCACACACACACCACCACAACCACACACACACCACCACAACCACACACACACCACCACAACCACACACACACCACCACAACCACACACACACCACCACAACACAAAATATCATCCTCCCGCGTCTCAACAAATAAATAAATAAAATAAACACATTTCAGTTCAAGGGTAAAGTTGACCTGTGATGGTCTCACCTACACTACCCTCAGGTGGTCCCACCTACACTACCCTCAGGTGGTCCCACCTACACTACCCTCAGGTGGTCCCACCTACACTACCCTCAGGCGGTCTCACCTACACTACCCTCAGGTGGTCCCACCTACACTACCCTCAGGTGGTCCCACCTACACTACCCTCAGGTGGTCCCACCTACACTACCCTCAGGTGGTCCCACCTACACTACCCTCAGGTGGTCCCACCTACACTACCCTCAGGTGGTCCCACCTACACTACCCTCAGGTGGTCCCACCTACACTACCCTCAGGTGGTCCCACCTACACTACCCTCAGGTGGTCCCACCTACACTACCCTCAGGTGGTCCCACCTACACTACCCTCAGGTGGTCCCACCTACACTACCCTCAGGTGGTCCCACCTACACTACCCTCAGGTGGTCCCACCTACACTACCCTCAGGTGGTCCCACCTACACTACCCTCAGGTGGTCTCACCTACACTACCCTCAGGTGGTCCCACCTACACTACCCTCAGGTGGTCCCACCTACACTACCCTCAGGTGGTCTCACCTACACTACCCTCAGGTGGTCTCACCTACACTACCCTCAGGTGGTCCCACCTACACTACCCTCAGCTGGTCCCACCAACACTAACCTCAGCTGGTCCCACCTACACTATCCTCAGGTGGTCCCACCTACACTACACTCTGCTGGTCCCACCTACACTACCCCTCTCCTGGTCCCACCTACACTACCCTCAGGTGGTCCCACCTACACTACCCTCAGCTGGTTCCACCTACACTATCCTCAGGTGGTCCCACCTACACTACCCCTCAGGTGGTCCCACCTACACTACCCCTCTCCTGGTCCCACCTACACTACCCCTCTCCTGGTCCCACCTACACTACCCTCAGGTGGTCCCACCTACGCTACCTTCAGGTGGTCCCACCTACACTACCCTCTGCTGGTCCCACCTACACTACCCCTCTCCTGGTCCCACCTACACTACACTCTGCTGGTCCCACCTACACTACCCTCTGCTGGTCCCACCTACACTACCCTCAGGTGGTCCCACCTACACTACCCTCAGGTGGTCCCACCTACACTACCCTCTCCTGGTCCCACCTACACTAACCTCTCCTGGTCCCACCTACACTAACCTCAGGTGGTCCCACCTACACTACCCTCTCCTGGTCCCACCTACACTAACCTCAGGTGGTCCCACCTACACTACCCTCAGCTGGTCCCACCTACACTACCCTCTCCTGGTCCCACCTACACTACCCTCTGCTGGTCCCACCTACACTACCCTCTCCTGGTCCCACCTACACTACCCCTCTCCGGTGGTCCCACCTACACTACCCGCAGGTGGTCCCACCTACACTACCCTCAGGTGGTCCCACCTACACTACCCTCAGGTGGTCCCACCTACACTACCCTCAGGTGGTCCCATCTACACTACCCTCAGGTGGTCCCACCTACACTACCCTCTGCTGGTCCCACCTACACTACCCTCAGGTGGTCCCACCTACACTACCCTCAGGTGGTCCCACCTACACTACCCTCAGGTGGTCCCACCTACACTACCCTCAGGTGGTCCCACCTACACTACCCTCTGCTGGTCCCACCTACACTACCCGCAGGTGGTCCCACCTACACTACCCTCAGGTGGTCCCACCTACACTACCCTCAGGTGGTCCCACCTACACTACCCTCAGGTGGTCCCACCTACACTACCCTCAGGTGGTCCCACCTACACTACCCTCAGGTGGTCCCACCTACACTACCCTCAGGTGGTCCCACCTACACTACCCTCAGGTGGTCCCATCTACACTACCCTCAGGTGGTCCCATCTACACTACCCTCAGGTGGTCCCACCTACACTACCCTCAGGTGGTCCCACCTACACTACCCTCAGGTGGTCCCATCTACACTACCCTCAGGTGGTCCCATCTACACTACCCTCAGGTGGTCCCACCTACACTACCCTCAGGTGGTCCCACCTACACTACCCTCAGGTGGTCCCACCTACACTTAGTGTCACATCAGTCAGTCACCTGAGGACCTATGGGTGACACAGACGCTGTCTGTGTCACCCGTCACTAGTGGCCAGGACCCGCCGGGCTGATCACCGCTCCAGTCACTGTCCTTCATTAGTGTCTCGACCTGTGTTGTGGTGGTAACCTGTGAGTGGTATACTTACTGCGGTAGACTAGTGCTTGAGTTTACAACTTTAGAGACACAAAGGATACAACCGTCTTCAGTTCACGAAACTTGACATTATTTTTAATAGCTTAAATAAATGAGTACCTTTGTGTGTGTGTATTTACTATTTGTAATTAGTATTTGTTTCTGCAAAAGCGAGCTATTAGCTCTTGGACCCCGCCTTTCTAAGCAATCGATTTTTCCTTCATTATTTCTACCATATATATTTCTCTCTAACACACACACACACATACATATGTATCCCTAGGAAGCAGCCAGTAATAGCTGTCTAACGCCCAGGTACCTATTTACTGCTAGGTGAACAGATGCATCAGGGTGAAAGAAACTGCCCATTTGTTTTCACCTCCGCCGGGAATCGAAACCGGACCCCTAGGACTACGAATCCCGAGCGCTGTCCACTCAGCCGTCAGACCATATCAGGATTGATGTGAGTGTATATAACTTAGTTTTTCAAATTTATATGCTGGCTGACTTATGCCTGGATAATGAGAACAAAATACACAAGTCAATTAATCTTTTTGAATTAATTTCCATTAGAATGTAATATATATATATATATATATATATATATATATATATATATATATATATATATATATATATATATATATTATATATATATATATATATATATATATATATATATATATATATATATATATATATATATATATATATATATATATATATATATATATATAACATATTGAAGTAATTTGCTCTATGAAAGAACCAACCAATTAATTTACCAATGTAAATATTCTTAACGGCACATCTAACACATATCTGTACGTACATATATAATGACATTGTTAAGTATACCGTGAGTGAGCCCTGGTGAGTGTTGACGCGTTACTGAAGACGGGACAACCAGCGTGTGACGGTATTATTTCCAACCCGCCGTCACCCTTCTGCTTCCTCAGTCACCTCCTGCAGGTGGTGGTTGTTGTTGTTTAAGATTCGCTACCTGGAACAAAAAGTTCCAGGTAGCACGGGCTATGGCGAGCCCGTAATTCTTGTCTCTCTCTCTTGCAGGTGTTCTGGTTTGAGGGAGTAAGACATTACTATATATTCGTAACTCTTAAACCAATAGTTAAGTTGTTTAGTGTAGACGTTCGTGTTGTGAGTGCAAACGTTTGTGTTGTGAGTGCAAACGTTTGTGTTGTGAGTGAAGGTAGTTGTCTTGAGGGTGAAGGAAATGAGTGTCGACGGTGCTGTACACAAGGTGCCTGACGACACCCTGACGGAGGGAGTAGAGACAGGAACACTAGTGAAGCTCTCAGCTCTCCCACCTGACCTGTTTCTCTAGTCTGAAACCCTAGAGAAAAGTACTTTTGATTATACTGTATTAATATACTCTATGTATATGTATATATATAACATATACATATACATTTGAACTCTGGCCAAAAAAAAAATATCTACTGTCTGTAGAAAAACAAGTTGAATTAAATTATAATTCATTGGTTTTCTTGGGTTTCAAACTCAAACAGGAATACGGCCTAAGCCTTCGTTCTAATACATAATGTGATTGATGTTAAGAGTGCTCCCGTGTGAGACACAACACCAGGACACAGTTCTCAGTCTCTGGTTGTTTCGTGTCATGGTCTCTGGGGGACAAAATGGGGGGGGGGGGGGACCTGTGTGAGGGGGTGTGGAGTGGGGGGGGGGGAGAAGGGGGTGAAGGGTACCAAAATAGCTTCTCTAAGGGCATTCAAGGTTAGGAGCGAAAACCGACGCCGCCCCCCTCGGGGCAAGTGTGGGTAAATGACTGTAATGTAACGCTGAATTAACGTTGATAACGTTTATTAAACGTTACTAGCGTATATTAGACGTTACTAGCGCATTTACTTGCCCGTCGGGACGCGGGTTTTCGAAGAAAATGGCCGGCCAGGCGGCCCGGTACCCAGAGCATAGGAGCCCCTCACATCGCTCTCACCAACGGCAAATTATCGTTGGGTTTATGACAATATTGGTATATTATTCCACATAATTTAGCGCTCCTTGATTTAAAAACACATCACAGGAATTAGGGGGATGAGCCAGAGCAATGCACGAGGAAGGTGGTAGTAATGGGACTCCATGCTGGGGTTGACCGCGACATCCCGGCTACACCTATACATAGGAACATAGAACACACACTGTATGACCTCTGGTGACCTGACCTCGCCGGGAGGCTCCGCTCCTCGCCGTTCACTTGTTATTCACTTCAAGACCATGGAGAAAGGAGACTAAGTGGAACGGTTGTGGCTCAAACCATTTTTCTCATTTTTTCTTTCTTGTCTTTTCAAGCAATAATAAAGTCTTTGCTATAATGTTTTGAAAATTTGTGTCTGTTTTATTTTCCAATGTTGCCGTGAGTGGTTGTCGGTAGTGGAGGGAGCGGGTGAGCTGGACACGACGGTGAGTGTGGTGGTCAATGTTGGCTTTTTTGTCTTAGCGTCACAGTGGGCCGGCGGCTCCGTCAGTCCAGCGCCCAGATCCACCACTATAAACACAATAAACTTCCATGCACCATAAAACACAAACCACTTGAGGGCGCCAGTTCCATCCACTCCCAGCTCTCATTAAGCATTTACTGCCACTTTTATGATGTTGTGGATAAAGAGGAGGATGTTGGCAAGGAGTGGCCCCACACTCGGGGCGTGCAAGGCCGCACTCATCTCCACACACTCACACTTCCACTCACGGCCATTATCTAGAGCAGACCCCATTTGGGTCAAGTTCAAGATCAGTGGCATTGTTCTAGACGGGCACGCACAGGGGGAAAGGGGGCAGGGCAGCCCCTAGGGGAGGCCGGGGGTCTTGTCCTACGGAACAGTAGGGCAAGCCGTCACAGTAGCCGTCTCTTGGGCCTTTACCTAACCTCACAGCTTAGGCACCCGTCAGTTTAAACACAGCTGTCATCTCTCCCCCCTTATTGTTTATTTTTGTTTTGAACATTCCACCAGGGCAGAGAAGGAGGTCGGGGAGTGTGGCGGGGGCGGGGAGGCGGGTGTGGGCGGGGGCGGAGGCCCCTTGTGTCCGGGTAGGTAGCGAGTTAGCAGTGGCGTGATCCCTCCGCTGACCTCGCCCGCTCCCACCTCGTACGGTCTCTGACGTCATCAGAGGTCAGCTTCATGTCACCAAACCAGACCTTCGTTCACCTGGTGGTCAAAGTTACCGCTTTGACCTGTGCGAAGTAAGAACGTGTGTCAGTAACATGAATAAGTTTCCACTCAATTATCACAACATTATTATTTCACACTAACACAATCAACTAATACTAGACAACTGATGTACTGGGACCCACGTAGTGGAGGCTACAACAGGTACTGTGTACTGTGACCCACGTAGTGGAGGCTACATGAAGTGTTGTGTACTGTGACCCACGTAGTGGAGGCTACGGCAGTTGTTGTGTACTGTGACCCACGTAGTGGAGGCTACAGGAAGTGTTGTGTACCGTGACCCACGTAGTGGAGGCTACGGCAGTTGTTGTGTACTGTGACCCACGTAGTGGAGGCTACAGGAAGTGTTGTGTACTGTGACCCACGTAGTGGAGGCTACAGGAAGTGTTGTGTACCGTGACCCACGTAGTGGAGGCTACAGCAAGTGTTGTGTACTGTGACCCACGTAGTGGAGGCTACAGCTCCTGTACCCACGGGGTACAGGAGGGCGGGGCAAGAGTTACACTGAAGGAAACAAACCTAACACTGTACAAGGTGGTGATGACCAGACCCGCTCAGCCAGCTACGGGTACATGACCCTACTGCTGATACTGTACATATTGATGGTCATGAAAATGGCAGTGATGACATTGATGGCGAGGGTGATGACTGATGGTGAGGGTGATGACTGATGATGAGGATGATGACATTGATGGTGAGGGTGATGACTGATGTCGAGGATGATGACATTGATGGCGAGGGTGATGACTGATGATGAGGATGATGACATTGATGGTGAGGGTGATGACTGATGTCGAGGATGATGACATTGATGGCGAGGGTGATGACTGATGATGAGGGGTGATGACACTGATGGTAAGGGTGATGACTGATGACGAGGATGATGACATTGATGGCGAGGGTGATGACTGATGATGAGGGTGATGACTGATGATGAGGATGATGACATTGATGGTGAGGGTGATGACTGATGTCGAGGATGATGACATTGATGGCGAGGGTGATGAAAATAATGATGATGATGACACAGATGATGGTAACTATCTTTAGTGTGTATATTATTTATTTATTTATTATTAGCGCCTGCAGGATCGAGCTATCAGTTCTTGGACCCCGCCTTTCTAACCGATCTATTTTCCTTTATTTTGTCTACCATACATGTTTCACTTTAACACACACACACACACACACACACACACACACACACACACACACACACACACACACACACACACACACACACACACACACACACACACACACACACACACACACACACACACACACACACACACACACACACGGGAATTAAACCTCACTTCGCTGGAAGACAGAAGAGTTAGGGGGGACATGATCACCACATTCAAGATTCTGAAGGGGATTGATAGGGTAGATAAAGACAGTCTATTTAACACAAGGGGAACACGCACAAGGGGACACAGGTGGAAACTGAGTGCCCAAATGAGCCACAGAGATATTAGAAAGAACTTTTTTAGTGTCAGAGTGGTTGACAAATGGAATGCATTAGGAAGTGATGTGGTGGAGGCTGACTCCATACACAGTTTCAAGTGTAGATATGATAGAGCCCGATAGGCTCATGAATCTGTACACCTGTTGATTGACGGTTGAGAGGCGGGACCAAAGAGCCAGAGCTCAACCCCCGCAAACACAACTAGGTGAGTACACACACACACACACACACAAAGGGACCAAAGAGCCAGAGCTCAACCCCCGCAAACACAACTAGGTGAGTACACACAAACACTCACACTCACACACACACACACACACAATGCCCAGGAAGCAGCCCGTAACAGTTTTCTAACTCCCACGTACCTATTTACTGCTAGGTGAACAGACGTAACAGGTGAATGAAACTCTGCCCCCTTTGTTGCTGTTATGTGCGTGTAATTACCTACGTGTAGTTACAGTGTGAAAGCTACGCTCGTGGTGTCCCGTTTTCCCAGCGTGTGAGAGAGAGAGAGAGAGAGAGAGAGAGAGAGAGAGAGAGAGAGAGAGAGAGAGAGAGAGAGAGAGAGAGAGAGAGAGTATACTCATGCACCAGTGAGCGTGTGGAGCATAATGCTCCTACTGACCACCATGCGCCATGATCATGCCGTCTGGGGAGGAGCGTTGGGAGAGAGAGAGCATGTCTGGCGGCTGCGTCATGAAATGACCGCCCTCGGACACGGGCGGCGCCCCCAGGCCGCCCAGGCCAGGGAAGTCACTCATGGGTCCTCCAGGGGGCAGCGGCTGCTCCATCGACGGCGGCAAGCCTGCGGGTCAGAGGTCACCAGTCAGGTCACACACAAGGTCATTTGAGGAAGTTATAATTACCAAACTATAGGTCTCCTACGACCTCCAGTGAGATCGTGGTAACCCAGCCACACAATATATGGTAAATCAGAATGATATCTATTCCTAGGATGCAACATCGGCCATTAACAGTTTATATCTATCTGACACTACAGTGAGACTGACCCACACGCACACACATCATCTATTCTTTATTTTCCCTACATTTTCTTCACTTGAGAAGGAAGTTGAAAAATTAACTCTCCAAAGTTCATCTTTACAGTTTTATTTCCCGTGACGCTAAGAGTTGCGTTTCGTGAACTCTTGTTAATATTCATAGATTCATAGATGAAACGCAACTCTTAGTGCCAGAGAAAATAAAACAAAAAATTAACTTTGGAGAGCTAATTTTTCATCTTCCTTCTCAAGTGAATAAAATGTAAGGAAAATAGAGAAGATTCCTGCTAGAATCATTGATCTCATCCTTTTGGTCACATTCAATATATATATATATATTATATATATATATATATCAAAGAAATCACAATGGCGTGATATATCAATGACAATCATTTTGAGGCAATAGAGTGACTCGAACCAGCGTTATGTTGAATCCCAGACACCTGCCCCCTAACCCACTTGGCCACGATGGTACACAAATCGACCAACCCGGAACTCTGCTGAATTGACTGGAGCTCCCAACAAGGAGCCCAACCAGGATTTTACGGTGGACGCGACCACACTCTGGCCTACAGTACGGTGTTCACACCCCCCACGCCCCACTCAGATGACACTGACCGTGCGGGAAGGCCATGCCAGGCGGCGGCGGAGGGCCCTGTCCCGGGAAGAAGTCGTGGAAGCCCTGGGGACCGTAGCCGAAGGCGTCGCCGTAGTAAGGGAAGCCGTCCTCCATGCTGGGCGACATGCGCATTCCTCGCAGCTTCCGCGGGTTTCCGAACAGGTGCGCGCGCATGCCCATAGAAGAGAGCTGCTTCATGCGTCGTTCCTTACTGCGCTTGTTCTGGAACCACACCTGCAAGGTTGGAGCAGGTGTGTAGAATAGCGGGTACTAACCTTATAAAAGATGCCTGGTTAGGCTTCTTTTATAGAAAAAAAACTTATTTTATCTTATAATGATTAAGAGTAACTCTTATAAGATCAAAATTTGTTTAACATACAACCTCAGATGTGTCTAACATACATAGCTGTGTCTAGGGGGAAAATATGGGTATCTATAGGTTAATAAAAGGGATCGAACCCATGTCTCTGGACTCCCCACTCACTATACATTACCTCCCGTCACTTGCACTGACGCAAAAATCAAATCACTGCCCACGAGCTCAAAAACTGACTCGTGGGCAGTGATTTGTTCAGTGAAAGAAATTTTTTTTAATTTCACATATAATATTTATTAATGTCATAGAAAGCAATGATCAGTTAATTACAAAATGACGATATATTCACGTATTGGTTTACCACTGTAGTGTATGGCGGGAACTGGACGTGTTCGTCATCACTTCCCGAAAATATTGTACACATTCTACTTACGAAACCCGTACATCTTTCCTTAATCATGGCAGCTTTGTTTACATTTTATTAAACACTTTATGAGCTTCAAAACTTGACAATCGAAGGTTATTATTGTTAGAAATAACCTCGTTAGCGCCTCGGAGTTCACAAACGGTTCAGGAAATGTAAACACAGCCGCCATCACCGAGGATAGATCTACAGGTTACATCCTGTAGATGTTGGACAAGTATATGAGTGGGATTGGGTGGTTATAGATAGAAGCTGCCTCGTATGGACCAATAGGCCTTCTGCAGTTGCCTTTGTTCTTATGTTATGTTCTTATCCTTCCTCAGTGGACACCTCCACCAGGGCCTGATGACTCTTGGCCCTGGCCCTATATGAAGCCCAGGGCTAAGATTCATCAAGCCCTGGTGAACATCAAGTTTCATAGTTTCAAAGATTCATCAAGTTTCTAGCTGGTGTATGAGGCTCAGGGCCCCCAAGATCACCGCTCCGGGAGCAACAAGCAAGAATCTACCCAATATATATAATGGTAAAATTAATATGATTACCTCCACCCCCCCACCCCCCCTTCTCACCACCAGCACCTCAACACCCCCCCCCCTCCTGCTCACCCCCACATCTCTCTCCCTCCACCCTCTCAACCCCCTCCCCCAACACCTACCGTCCTTCCCTCTGGCCCAACCCCTCCCCCCACAACCCCACCTTCATCTGGCCCCACCTTCATCTGGCCCCCCCTCCATCCCCCTCCCCTCTCCCCCTCCCCCCCCTCTCACTGTGACGCCCGTCTTAGCGAGGGGAGAGACCGACGGACGACCTAATCACAGGAAAATGGTGTGAACCTTATTAACATAATAATTAAGGGAGTAATTTGCGTGTCAATACTGCCGACAGTCACGGCACGTCTAGGGGGGAGTTAAGGGAGAGGGGGGGGGTTAAGGGGGAGGGGGTTAAGGAGGAAGGGTTAAGGGGGAGGGGGGTTAAAGAGGTGGATGGTTAAGGGGGAAGGGGACGTAGTGAGGTGGATGGTTAAGGGGGAAGGGGACGTAGTGAGGTGGAAAAGTTAACGAGGGGAGGAAATTCATTATAGGAAAAAAGAAAATTAGAGGTGCTAAAGGGTAGAGGGGAGGTATGGGAAGGAGAAGGGGAAGGTGAGGGAAGAAGAGGGGGAGACAGGGGGAGGGGGAGACAGGGGGAGGGAGAGACAGGGGAGGGGGAGACAGAGAAGGGGGAAGACGGAGAGTTTTTTGTGTTGTACAGAGTATAGACAGGAGGTTTATGGACTAGACACGGGCTGGTAATTACTGACCAGAGTGGTATACTGAGGACTGCAGACAACAGTGGTATGCTGAGGACTAAAGACCAAAGTAGTATGCTGAGGGCTGCAGACCACAGTGGTATGCTGAGGACTAAAGACCATTGCTGTTAGTGTTAATTCTAATGTCCTATTGTTCTTGTCCTCTTCAATACTTTTGGTGAAACTCCGCGTCTCAACGTCTGAAAAGTTTATTCTGAAACGGACCAGACTTTTCACCAAGTCTGGTGAAACTTGGACCCGTCTTAATGACAGACTTAAAGAACACAAAGAGGTTAAACTTCTTCCAAAGTAATGTATAGTGTCTCTAATCTCCAAAGAATCTGTATTTTTTAATGGGCTCTCCCACACACAACATGGCCAACATGCTGGTATGTACAATATGCCAACATGCTGTCGCACGCAACATGAACCTAGTCCTTCCTGGCTTTGTTGCTGTCGACTCTTGATTTTCACAATACATCGTTAAAGTTACAGTTTTCGTAGGAATGGGGATGAGACTTTGCACACTGCTGCTCTCCTCTCTCTTCTCTCTCCATCCCTTTGTTTCTAAGTTGATTCTCTGTCTTATTCCATATTTATTCTTTTTACGCATTTCTGTTCCCTTTTTCTGATTACGTTATTTAGTTTTTCTTTGCATAAAGAGCTGCCTCGAATGGGTCAATAGGAGCTGCCTCGTATGGAACAATATCAGTTGCACTTTAATATTTATATGAGCCTCTGGAGTTAGGTTCGGTGTTATGTCCACTTCCAGATCCTTTTTTTCTAGTCGTTATAGGGAGGTAGTTTCCCTTCATCATGTATCGACCTTTCGGTTTTCTGGCTACTGATCCCATTTCCATCACTTTCCTCGCTGGTGTTGAACTCTAGTAGCCATTTCTCAGACCAGTTCTGTAACCTGTTCAAGTCATCCTGGAGAATCTTACAATCCTCTTCTGTATGAACCCTCCTCATTAATTTTGCATCATCTGCAAACATTGACATAAAAGACTCAATTCCTGCAGTCAACTCGTTTACATAAATGAGGAATAGTATGGGACCCAGGACCGATCCTTGAGGCAGCCCGCTTGTTACTCTACGCCAGTCCGACTCCTCGCCCCTCACTCTCACTCTCTGACACCAGTCCGACTCCTCGCCCCTCACTGTCACTCTCTGACACCAGTCCGACTCCTCGCCCCTCACTGTCACTCTCTGACACCAGTCCGTTAGGTAATGCCTTACCCATATTAATGCGTTGCCGCCAACTTCCGTCTGTCTCTCAAGTTTGTATAGTAACATCCTTTGTGATACTGTATCAAAGGCTTTTTGGCAGTCCAGAAATATGCAATCTGCCCAACCATCTTCATTCATCTAGTTGTGCTTGCGGGGGCTGAGCTCTGCTCTTTGGGCCCGCCTCTCAACTATCAATCAACCGTTTCTAACTACTACTATTCCCTCCCCCCCCAGGAAGCAGCCCGTGACAGCTGACTAACTCCCGGGTACCTATTTACTGCTTGGTAACAAGGGCATTGGGTGAAAGAAACTCTGCCCATTGTTTCTCGCCGGCGGCCGAGATCGAACTCGGGACCACAGGATCATGTGTCTAGCGTGCTGTCCGCTCGGCCACCGGCCCTTGCCTGTGTGTGTGTGTGTGTACTCACCTATATGTACTCACCTATATGTGCTTGCAGGATCGAGCATTGACTCTTGGATCCCGCCTTTCTAGCTATCGGTTGTTTACAGCAATGACTCCTGTCCCATTTCCCTATCATACCTAGTTTATCATACTTAGTGTGTGTGTGTGTGTGTGTGTGTGTGTGTGTGTGTGTGTGTGTGTGTGTGTGTGTGTGTGTGTGTGTTGGAGGAGGGTATGGGCCAACATGTGGTGATAACGTAAGGGCAAACAGCCGTGGCAGCTTTAAGTGCTAGTCCGTGTTCGATCCCGCGGGTCGCGGGGCACGACGCGGTGGCCCCAACTGGTCACCACCCGCGGGCCGCCGACCAACAACAGTGTAGTCAGCAATAAAACACTATTATCTACACCATTAATTGCCCCCCCCTGCCACCAGCCTCTATCACCAACTACCACAACTGCACTATAAACATCATCATCATTAGCAGCAGCAGCAGCAGGAGACGCAGCAGGAGCAGCAGGAGACGCAGCAGGAGACGCAGCAGGAGACGCAGCAGGAGACGCAGCAGGAGCAGCAGGAGACGCAGCAGGAGACGCAGCAGGAGCAGCAGGAGACGCAGCAGGAGCAGCAGGAGCAGCAGGAGACGCAGCAGGAGACGCAGCAGGAACAGCAGGAGACGCAACAGGAGCAGTAGGAGACGCAGGAGACGCAGCAGGAGCAGCAGGAGACGCAGCAGGAGCAGCAGGAGACGCAGCAGGAACAGCAGGAGACGCAACAGGAGCAGTAGGAGACGCAGGAGACGCAGCAGGAGCAGCAGAAGACGCAGCAGGAGCAGCAGGAACAGCAGGAGACGCTGCAGGAACCGAAGGAGACGCAGCAGCTGCAGTAGCGACCAACGCCATCACCTGTTCTAGCAGGTTTTCTTGACACATCATTAGCCAACTCTTGGAGGTGGTGGACCACAGTGAGGGCGTGGCGGGGACGGCGTCTGCCGCCCCTCCTGCACTTCACCACCACCTTACAGCTACAGGGGCAGCTCAGGCTTGCAGACGGACGCACAGGTAGTCTGGCCAGCTCAAGCTTGTGACTCCCAGGCGCGTCTATGTCCGGAATGTACGTACTTGCCTGACTGAATTTACAGGACAAAGCTAAGCTCTTGGGACCCGCCTTGTATCCTACCAGTCGTCTCGTGTAATGATAAGCAACGCTCTTCAATCTCACCATATCTATAGTGGAACTATCTATCGAGACTCGCTCTATATATCTCAATTTTGTTTCAAATGTTCCATGCCTATGAAAAAGGTATGTGCATTTCAAGCTAGGGGAGGGGGGAGGTAGATGACCCACCACCGTACTGTACCCCTCCCCCCTCCCAAAAACACCCCCCAACAACACCCCAACAATCCTTCCCTTACAACACCCTCCTCCCACACCCCCCGACGACACTTCCGCTCTTCACCAACAAATAAGTTCCCAATAATACACATAATTAAGATAAAACGAGAGCTTATAATGCTCTCCAACCCAATAATACAACACAAGGATGTTGGGACTCATCCACGGATTGTGCATATA